CCAGAGATTTAGGAGACACTTTTCCGAATGAGCATAGTGCTTTTCCAGATGCTAAGCTTTATATTCATAGCCATCAAGAAAATGTTCTTTTTTCCTATCTATTCACAATCTCATTTGTCTCCCAAACAAACAAAATGTCTACATACCAAACAGCAGCAAAGTGGCTCTACCTACTTTCAGCTCTTCCAGTGGGGGTGACCTGAGGCAGCAATAGCAGTATGTAATCAGATTTATAAGAGGAATCCATCAATGTTTCAGGCAACTAACCCACAGGAATAAAAATGAGCTTTCAAAACCAATAAAAATATGAATGTCAATTGCACCTGGGTCCCATACCCATAGCTGCACCTTTAATTGAAGAAGGCGTGAGTTTTAGAGAAGGGGGAGGACAGCTCAATGTAAGGGCGCTAGCACAGCATTTCTGTGATCTGGGCATCCCCTGTGCTGTCTAATGCTTCCATTAAATCTCTAACTATGCTGTTTGGTCTCTGTGTCCTGGCTGCCCATACTTCAGAGCGCATGGAGCAGAAGAAATTTTAATTCACTGTCGTATACAACTATTCACTCCTTCCTCGCAACACGTGGGCTGGGATTCCAATAGTTTTTCCTAATACTAAAATGCTTTGCCCGTACTTTTTACCTCAAAAATCACACGGTCTGTCATGGCAATACAGACTAAGAGATGAATACACTAAAAGCAGTGATGGGTGGGATACAGCAGCTGTATCTGAGCGTGTTAATGAAGCATTATGCTACATAATTCAAGACTGACAGCAAACCAATAGTGTTGCTTAAGGCTGAGGGAAAACAGTATATTAATACACACACAAGAGTATTCCTCAAATATGCCTTAAGGCAGTCTCTGGTGCTGGTTTCTAACAGCATAGTAAATAGATAGCAGCGAAACACTGACTACAACGTATCCTCCCAAGATTTGCTTCCCCATCCTCCATGCCTTCCGTCACTGTAATCCTGATGTCAAACATGAACACTTGTAACAGTAGCTTGTATTACTTGTATCATTACTTTTAATCTTCCTTTCAGGGAAGTAAACTCCAAATTGCAAACACTACTGCATAGGACTTGAGAAAATTCCCCATCCTACTCACAGATGGACAATAAACACCATCTATGAGCTAACAATCAGATTGCTATATTTTTTATGATTAATATCTATTAAAATCAAGGGAAACTTCTATTGGAACAATTTGCTGTTGTAGTTTCAGCCTTTACTTCATGCTGCCAAGTTACTGGACACAGTTCAGCACGGCCTGATGTACCTTTCAATTTTTGGAAATAATAGTAACACAAGCTGAGTATACTGAGGAAAAAAAAAAATAGTCGTTGAAACACATAGGACTTCTGCTAGCCCCAGAAACAAATTCCAAGAGTGAATTCAGAGATCATTACAGCACTGCAAACTTGCCCTGTGTTGTTCTTTTGAGTTGCAGGAGAGACCATACTGTGCTATTATGCTTCACTGTTCTAGGACAGGCCCATGACTGACGAGTATTTTTACAAAAATGGAACTAATCTAACAATATCCAGAAACAGAGGTTTGAGCTTTTTTTTTAGTTTAGGATTTCTCAATTTTTTTTTTGTTTAAAAAAACTTTTCATATGGAAGTACCACTGAGAGTGAAGGATTCATACTTAGATCAAAAATATACTTAGATTTAAAAATAAAATAAATAAATATATATATATATATATATATCTAATTTGCAAATTTTGAATAGAACTTGCAACTACCTCAGAATGTACAGCAGCTCACTCCCTCCTTCAACTATGCTTAACAAATATTTGAAGAAGAAGGGTAATTATTGCGCAAAGAAAAAGAGTCTGTGGAAGATGCAGAAAAGTAGATTTACTTTTTGTCAGCACTGGAGATTTGTCCTGATTACTATCATTACTGGCATGGAAGAAATGCTACACTGCTGAATCTCTTACAGAAGACAGCAAAAGATTCTATTTATATATAAGAAGATGAAAATAAAGTTGTAATGACTAAAGAGATAGCCTTCTAGTAGCGCAGACACAACCTGAACAACTTCGTCTCACTGAGAACATACTCTTGGCTTGTTGCCAGTGACTGAATTTGGGGGAAGTTCTCTTTTGAATTCACTTACTTTTGCTTTTTATGTTGTTTAGCAAATAGCTGTCCTCCCACCTCACCTGCATTATAACCTGCAAATAAATTCTTTGAGAATGCTTGTTGTTTGACACTTGGCTACAAAATCCTCTCTAGCAATATCAACAGAGGACTAATTTCCAGGTAGGTAACAAAAGCAAAAGCTTTGGTCTAATTCTGAATCTATTTCATATGACTAATGTATTAAAATTCATCAGGTGTAACAACTCAGAGCACTGATCAGCTTTGAAATTGATAAATTGGAAGCAAAATGCTTCTCGCACAGACTCAGTTGAAAGTTGAGAAATAAAGCATGTGCACATACGCAAAAGCAGACACATACTCTCTACAGATTCTGCTACAGAGGTTTAAGTTTACTATTCTGAAGAGTTTTCACTCAGTCAGTTTGAACCTACAGACTCACACAATCAGCAGAAGACTTAAGAACAGCCTGAAATTATTGGCACGTTCAAAGTAGAACAGTAATCTACAGCTGCATATCCCAGCACTTTCAATGTGAAGCCCACCATCCGCTAAAAACAACGTATATTATTCCTGTTCAAAAGGGAAACTCAGAAAAAGATCTAATGCACTTTTCAAGGAAGTATCAGCCTTATGACCCACCTTTGCTGCCAAACGCTTGCTACATAAAAGAATCTGTTTTGGAAGCAAATTTTAAATGGAGGAGTTCCGTTTGAAAATTTGTTACTGCCCTCACTTAAAAAACAGCCTCTGAATTTATAAATAGATAAACCACATATCTGACTTCTTTAGGTTGATTAGATTTCTCAAAGTCATGCATAATCAATTCAATATCTATGAGTGAAAAAACACAAATTTCTGGTTTGAAAAGCATACATCTACTAAAATAGATTAAAATACATTCCATGTCTCTGATCACAATCAACATTGTTCTGCTTGGCAGTTAATACCACTTCTTGCAAGTTTTCTTTTTTTACTTCTCCCATATGCTGTCTGCCAAAATTGAGGTTCTTTGGAAAGGAGAAACTGATCTCAGCCACCTTCTTTTCCTGCACTGGATACTAAGGGAGAAATTCCATCAATCAGGATCAATTTTTAAGTATTTTGCAATCTGTAGAAAAACTGCATTGGTAAGCACCCCCCCCCCCCAAAAAGGATGAAAGAAGGTTATTTAAATGAAAGAGACAAGCACTTTAATAAAAATTGTACTATAACGGCATTTATTTGATACATGCATTAATAGACATACTATAGATAGCAAAGTCATGTAAGATGTAAAGTTATGTTGACTCTGTGAGCTACACCAAGCTGCTAAGACAATAAGTCCTTTCAATATTAAGCCTAAGTTAATCAGAACTGTTGCAAGAAAACCAAACAGGTTCACAGTTTCAAGATAAGCTAAAGAATTTAGGCATACATCTTCCAGTAATTTACTGGAACACGTTTATCAATATGGACTACTACAACAACACAACCGAGCACTTAGTATCTTCATGCTCTTATTTTTCTTACTAAGAAACTGAGATGACTATATACTATTTTGCAAGCGGAAGGAGGAAAAAGAAAGCTTAGAATTGTTAATGTGGCCATTTTTACAAGTGAGTTCTGCTCTATGATAGTTATTTGGTGTTGCAGTTAGGACAGACTTAGGTTTTTTTTGAAGGAGGGAGATGGGAAGGTTTTGGAACCGTTCTGAATTTTGACCTAGACTCTAAGAATCCAGCCTGACATTCCAGCTGATCCCATAACACTCAACACCTTTTTATAAAACAAGCACATTCTGTACACCCTTTAAGCTACAACTTAGAAACGTGGGATTGACATCACTGTCATATTTTAAGCACCCAGTGAACCCGATACCTGATGTCATAACCTCTGCTAAAGAAAAAAGTCTAAGCATCCTGCAGCATTTTTTAGCACATTTCTGTAGCAACTCCAGTTCAGTAAAATTCTTGTGGTTTCTCAAAAGAGATCATCTTATTTGGTTTGGGATAAGCATGCACTAACACTAAACATGGGAATTATCTACAAGCCAAGAGAGGCCAGATTCCAATATGCCTACTCATTTTGGAAATATCAGCAAATTCAGTAAGACTCCTTGAGAAACAAGGGACTACTTGTCTAATTTAAAAATCGAGTTTTCAGATTTTATTAATAGAAATGCCAGGCCAATAGCTCTCCCACTCATTACCTTTTGAAAATACATCAATGTGATAGACCTTGTTAATCGGTTGCTAAGTTGCTGCAACACCTAAAAGCAGTACTATGAGAGCATTTCTTCCAGGAGCAACACTGGCAAAAACAAATACGGACTACAACTAAGTATTCATATAGCTCTAAATATAACATGGGCAAATGGGATACTTAGACAACCTCACAGGTTTGCGTCTGAACAGCGCAATCCGAGTTTTGAAACCGCACATGAACAAAGATCAAGACAAGTCCATACTATCATTCACTGCCTAACAGGAGACAATCACACATTACTCCATAATGCCCCAGTGTCCCGCGTATCCTTCCACAACTGGCATATCCTCTGATAAAGAAATGTAACTTGTGGATTCAGACAATCTGAATTTAAAGTGACCCTACAGAAATGTTTCTAGGGGAGAGCAAACTTTGGATGAATGGATGAAATGTAATGCTTTTCCCATGTAAAGAGCTTAAAAGTTATAAATTAAACAAAAAAGAAAACTCTAATCACTGTTTTGTTTTTATAATATAGAAGACGAAAAAAAAATACAAGTCAGTATTCAACTTTGTAAAAAGCCATCAAAATTGAGAGGGCAAAAAAACCCCAAATATCATTTGTACACTAAAACCTGTCAAATAAAAGGCACTGCCAAATTCCTAAGTGTCAAATATATATAACAAAAATATATCCTTGCCTTTTTGTTCTTTAACATAGCTCTCCTTACAGTTGTGCATGAGCTGCAGAATCCACTGATGTTGAGCACCAATGCACTGCCAAGCAGGGTCCCCAGGCGCATGAAGATCAGAAAGATATCTGTAAAACCCAATCCAAAAATCACAGCTCTGACTTGACATATTGAAGGCCTCATTAAAACAGACGAGAGATGCACCAAAAAATACCTCCTTTTTACATTGTTTTAAAAATTCAAGAACGCTTGCTGAGACGCATTCATACTCAATGCAAACACAAGCTTTGCATTCTCCCTTCCTACTTTAGCGAAGGAAAGTTCCATCTAAAAACACCTTGCAGAAACAAACAAAAATACATATACTTAATATGATGTTAATATGTATTTTCAGTTATGTCTCTAGTTAAGTACTTGAGAAATCAAGTTCTTATCTGCCAAGGTTCAGTGCTTCACATTTCACTTGGAATCAGTGATAACATCTCAAGCACATAAAAGATGATATTTTTCTTCCAACTTTATACGTCCTGATTGTATCATCATGTAACTGCAACAGGCAAGTATAGAAGCAATTAATTTTTCAATGATCATTCATTTTAGCACATACATGCACAAACAAATGTAAACGAAGCTCCTATTTGGTTTCTGCGTTAGGACATAAACACATATGGATTTGGGGCTTTTCTTTTTAACAGATTTTCTAACAAGTGCAAGCAAAACAGCTACAATCTTTGGAGAGAGAAGTGTGTGCAGAAGTTATCTGTTGTAATTGTGAAAAACAATACAGAGAATACAGAAGTAGTATAGTCCAACATATGGTATTCAAGACTATGAGACAACAGTACTTTCAAAATAATGCTTTTAAATAGTCGAGCAGCTACTTCTTTTTAACGTGTTCCATTTCTTTCTGCAGTAACTAGACACAACATAGATTCAAAAATTCAAGATGACCAGGATGAAGTGCATTGGCTTATGATCTTAAGCAGTGCAATGAGTGTATAACCTCTTCTAAAAAGCTGTACTACTACAGTACTGACTAATGTTAATTAGGACTGTATTGCAAAATTCTGACTTTTTTGAGAACTGTCTACAGCACTTAAACATGCAAAATAAACTGTTTGTCAAAGTATGATCAGTTGGATGGATGAGGAGATTACACAACCAACCATTCTGAAAGAGTGATATTTATAAGTTACGAGCTCAAGTCCTTCATCAGTGTTCAGGAGGACTTTAGTCTTTGTTTAGACACAAAATAAAAAAAAAAAAATACTGCTGGCCTTGGAAAAAATGCATCCCCTTAGCTGTTAAGTGATATGATAAACTTGTTTCTGAACAGTATAATATAATTATCAGTGTAAACAGTATAATAAAAAAATGGGAGAATATGGATTGAAGCTTAATCATAAAGACATATACTGAATTTTTGAGACGGAAAATGCATGGCATTTCAGGTCTCGATCAGTCTTAGACACTGTAGACATACAAAAAAACATACCGAGTAAAACCCCACAACTTATACATGTAGCAGTATTTATGGAAGTTATTTTACAAGGAGGATTTTGTTAATTTGTTTTTAACTAAAGTGCTCTGCAGAAAGCTTTCGTCACACCTTGCCTCCTGGAAATTTACACAAGTATATTACACACATTAGCGTAGCTACAGTAGTATACACTTTGTATGCAGGGCTTCTGTTAATTCATTAGCATCAATTTATTCAAGATTTGTGCCTGCCTTGCTCTCTTTTGTTATAGTGCTCTAGATGTCGAATACACTAAGGAGATACATTAGCACTAACTGCTTTAACGTAGGCTGGGATATTCTTAAAGATTCAGTGCTTTTCCAGGTATGGAGCTGGAGGAAAACTAAAAACTCAAGATCCTAAGCAGATACAGCTCCAATTCGTCCAAAGAATTCTTAGAAGAGCTGCTAAGACTTGGCTCAAATAAAGAAGCTTTTCTTTAAGGTTTTCAAGATTGATATAGAAAAATGAAAACAGTAATACACTCTTCCGAAGCGAAAAATGCTTAACTACTTATCTCAAAACACAGTTCTAATAATTATGTGATATTTATATGGCACCCAAAAGAACGTGAGGCACTCTATGTGCATATATGCTGGTTATCGTCTAGGCGCATAAGTAATGGGACCTGAGTCTCCAATACTGCAGTTTATCCTGTGCAGATGGGCCTAGCTAGCATACAAAACAAAGACTTCAAACAGGTGTCCAAGAGTTTTAAGAATGCCTCACAAAGTAATGAATTTGCTCTATACTTTTCAAGATAATTGAAGAAAACACTGGGAATCCTGAAACAGTACAGGATTCCTACTTAATATCTAAGACTCAATGGCTTTGCAAGTCAGGTGCCAGGGATCACAACTACCGGTAGGCTTAAGGTCTGCTGGTATAAGGAGATTCAACTGACTCATGTTAGTGTGCCTAAAACGGACTTTGACATCAGCTTTAAAGATGACAGAAAAATGGGAAATTTCAACGAAAACTGGGGAAAAGGTTCATGCTCCAGAAATATAAAGGAACTATATTATTTAGAATGAGTAGTAAAAGAGTCAAACCCAAATTTACACAAAAGTCTGGATTAAAACCTTTCTAATATTGCTTGACTCACGATGATTCCATTTCAATACCAAGTCAAGATGAAATATAACACACATTACTAAGGAATCTATTTTGAGATTGTAACTTGTGAGTGATCGCTTCAGACTAGACTTGCGATATACTGCTTAGAGGAAGCATCAGAATCTAAACATGAGTTTAAGACTAAAAAAATTAAACTAAATCCCAGTTACCTTTCATTAAATTGTTCTCGTTTTAAAAGTGTTCTTTATTATTCAATAAAGCATAAAGTACTACCTATTGCCATTATTTATATACTCATAAAATCTTAAAATACTATATTTACAGCTTCAAAACATTTGTGTTTAAGTCACAGTAAGAATACTCACTACACTATTAGGAAACAGATTTAGACATACATCCAACATCCTATGTCTGAGAAGATATTAGTCAAATGATTACCTTATATAACGTTTCTGATCATGCAGTGTCGACGGAGTTTCAAGCAGCTTATCCAAGAGAAGTTCTCTTAAAGCTTCAATTCTCGTTTCAACTTCAGCATAATCTAGGAGTGGGGAGAGGAAATAAAACCAGTGTGTGCCATCAGCAGTAGTGGGAATTGAAAATTAAGTTATTTTTCTAGAGCATTGGATCCTTCTGCACTTAATGCAGAAATTGATATAACTCATTTTATAGCAAGTTACGTCTGAAAATTTTGAATACAATAGTATTACAAAAAGGAAAATTTGACTTTGAAGTCTTTCCAAAATATGCCAGTGAGAGAGACACTGTCATATCCTTTAGTTTCTGAAAACTGTTACATGTCCAGTAATACAAAGCTTCAATAAATAAATAAATAAAATTAGCTGCCATCTCCTATTATACTTATTATCTTCCAGTACATATCTCAGGCAGAACCCTGCCAGAAATATTGTTTAGAGTAACTGTTCAGAATCTAAAGAGATCTCCATATAAACAGAAGCTGAAACCCACATAAAGCTCCTTAGACTATTGTGTTTTTAGACTTTCAGTTAAAAAAACTGTAAGTAAATAACAGAACTCTTATCTTACATTTTTTGAATACTTGAACCTCTGTCTTTCCGAAGAGCGACTTGGCTTTTTCATAGTCGTTAATAACCACGTCATAATCACCCTTAAAAACAAACAAACAAAATTTGGATCTGTCATGAAAAAGGTAAACGTAGACTAATTTCAGGAAGGAGAAAAATATTTTTAAAGGATTATACCTTCTGGATATTCCTTTCGATATTTAAGGGAAGGTTGAAAAGAAATTTAAAACGCTGAAGGACATTAAGTGCATTTCTTGTTGAATCAGCTTTGTCCTTGCGACCCAGCACTTCTTGGAATAAGGTATCTGCTGTGTTACTGGCTCCTGTTTTAAAAAGGATGAAAATAAGAAAAGTAAAGTAGGTAATCAGTACAAATTAGATACAGATTTTCCCGATTTTAATGACTGGCACATTCATTCAATTTTTTTCAGAGTAAGTGAAAAACTATTGCTAACATTTTATTCTTTTTTTGTTTTAATATTTTGCAATTTATGAAATACTATTTCAAAGTGAACCACTTAGCATTTTAATGTCATAAGATCCCTGTGCAATTAAAAATAATCACTCTCCCCTATTTCAAATGCTTAACTTCATTTCAGATATTTTATAGTTTGCTTTGGCTCCTGATCTACATTTTACAGCTAAATTATGCATCTCAGGATATAGAAAAGTCATACAAAGTTTTCCTTTTAGAATAGTATAATTTCATTATGTTAATTAATGTCATAGGTTCAAGAGTTATCATTGTGGGTTTTGTAAACATTTTTTTTTGTGTTTTCAAATTAAGTCTAAAAAATGATTAATACTATTTGATATTTAAATGAGTCATTATTTAAAGTACCAAAGATTAAATCATAGACAATAAAGTTACTGAGACTCTTAACTAACTGGTCACTGTAACAGAATAAACACAAATTGTCTTCATATTACTTTACAATTCTTACTGGCTTCATTGCATACAGGATCAAGCTCTTGGTCAACAATTTCATGCAACAAACTCTACATTGTGTCTGAATATTCTTCAACAAATACATTCTTAAAACCTTTTTTATTCAGACTACAAAGTAAACTATCTTGTACTACAGATTTCCCCATAATTTCCTTTCACAGAATAACGGAATTTCATTTATAGTAGGGAAGATTTACATCGCATGCGAATATTTGCATTTTTCAACTTGTGACTTCTTTTTAATTAGCCAAAGAAATAAAAAAGTGGAACTGTTTTAGCCTTTATGATCGCTGCCTGTAAAAGTTTCTACATTATCTGGTCTAGTGACTATACTTTAAGCAAAGATGAAAAAAATTACATCAGTCTCACTGGGTGGCGTGCATGCCGTTTTCTCTAGTCAACACTGTGGGTGGCCTGCTCATGTTAAAAGTAGTCTTTGTGAAATAATTGTTATATCTAAATAATGTTTAAACTTCGTTGAAATTTTGAAGCCCTGATGTAAAAAATGTTTTGTGAGGACAGCTATTTCTACTACATATTATTTAGTGTAAAATACTTTAATCCATTAAGCAGAAAACCACAATGAAACAGCTAGCTGGACATTTAAACGCAGACCACAAAAAAGTTGGATTTTCTTCTTCTTGACATTATAATAGATGCTTGTTTCATAAATCCTTCTAGTAAACAACATTTATTTTGTTTGAATTCATATGTTTATTGTCCATTCTTTTAACAGCCAAATAATAAGCAATGTACTGCTTTTGGTGATTACATTTATATTTACAAAGCATTTTTCTTTACTCAATACAAAACAAAACTTTTTGAAAGGTAATTGAGAACCGCAGAAATTGCACAGTGATATTCATCTTTACTTTAAAACAACACACGTCCTCAATTCTTTAAGACATAATTTGCTGTAGAAATTGTCAATTCAAGTAAACGATTTTACATTTTTTTCTACGGACTCTATTTTACTTAAATGATTTAATGTTTTAATCTCTAAATATCTTAATCAAATTAATTATTCTGTGCAGAAAAGGTCTTTCAATTTGAATTAAAAGAAACAAAACACAACTGTAAAATGTCCTCCCTTCTTCCCTCTCAAATCCTTTCTATATTAACAACCTTTATCTCTTGATCACTGATGAATAATCTAGATCTAAATAATAGAGTTCATAGATAAAGATGCAAGTCCTCTGTTGATCAACTGTGTTTTCAAAATAGATGATTCACCTACTGTGCACACATTTTCTTTTTACCTCAACATAAAGGTCTAATTATCCAACAGCTGTCTTTCACAGAGCCTGACAAACACCACATAATGGAGAGAATCAGACTGACCTCCTTTAAGATACAATTCTTTGTGAAATTAATTATACCACATAATACGTTTTTATAAATAAATATACATATATATCTATTCAATATCTTATTTAAGATACTTAATTGTACCTCCAAACAATTATAATTACACCTGTAACACCAGATTCTGCTTCTACTATCTAATGCAGCTTCAATCCAACAATTTGGCAAACTATTTTAATGTATTCAGATGCTGTAGAAAACCTCCTTAGTCTTACAACTCCCTAATCAAGCTCACAGTATCGTCTCTCAAAATGTGCACCTACAGGAAATAAAATGCAAAACTTGACTAACGATTTGAGGACACTGTTGAAAACATTCCCAGTAACTCACAGATTACAGAAGCACTTGAAAGTCAAATTCTTTATAGAATAGTAACTAAGGACACTTTTGAATGGTCAGAAAAGAAATAAGGCTTTCATCCTCAACTACTTTGCATAATATTGTTTACTCTTTTTAAATCCCTGTATTCCTACCCCCCTGCCTCCCACCCATCATGACTTGCAAAGTATCAAGAGGAAAAGCAGCCAATTCTTCTCACAGCAGAGCTAAACCTAATACCACTCTGAAGTGGCTGGCACAAGTTCCTCTAAAGGGACAGCTTGAAAAAGACAATCCTAATCATTTGCATACAGATTTCAGCCAGCATTTATCAAAGAAAAAATGACTGTATACTATAGGAAGGTCTGTTGCATGTCGAAAATAAAGCCATGACCCTGCAAGATTTTACGGTTTCATTCATTTATGTTAAAATCTGTTACGTATTTTTGTCAAAGGGAAATGCTCTCCAAAGGATCTGTGCTCGGTGCATGGCATGGTATTGATACAGAGAATTGGGGACTACATCTACAAATGTCATTAATTGCTTTTTCCCCCTACCTTATTTGTATCAAACAGATTTTGGCACACAAGCCATTCAGATAGCAAAGATATGTATGCCAGGTTTTGCATTCCAGGCAACAACAGGAAGACTACACCTTTGCTGCAAACGTTAACGTATTACTAATGAGCAGAACTAAGGCTGTTCACAAAAAGCAAACAAATAAACAAAAAGACCTGCTTTCCTTCTGCTCCACACATGAGCAGCCACTGCTTTATTCAAACAAGAGAACACGCAGTGAACTTCCATGTCACTTTCCCTTTTTCATAAAAATACTCTCTGACTGTCCAACAGACCTGCTTATTGATACAGCACTAAGGGAAACATCCCTTCCTCTGTGAAAAAAATCACAATGAAACACAGTAAAATTATCTTGGCAAAATTCCCAGAATTAAAAAAGTAACTTTTTGATCTGATGAAACACATACCAAACTGCAGTAAATGCAAGTAATCTCTCAACAAAATCTTACAACTAATACACAGAAACACAGAAAAGAGGGCACTGAGAGCTCTTCAAAAGTTTCTAAAAGAATACTAATTCCAAGCAGTCTGAATGACAGCACAGTAAGCGAGAAATATCCTGTTAATAGACCTTGTTACTTTGTGTTTTTCTCCTTTGCTAAAAGTTTTTACAGTCTTGGTATTTAGTTTTGCTCATCCTTCCACAGCTCTATTTCTCTCTTTTCTTTGTACGCTGAAAATTGACATGCCACCGAAATTAATTTAAATTAAAAGCTATAGGCTGCTTTTATTTTGATTTTTATTCTTTGTTATCACAAACTCAATCCTTTGTCCACCGAAATTCAGGGCAAAAGTTGCCACTTTTTTCAAGAGGTGTAGTATTGCACCCTAAAACCACTACCATCAAAAGGGAAACAGGCAAGAGAGAGTGTACTGTTTTCTACTTTCTACCATATTCCAAGAAATATATTAAAGTTTGTTACAAAGTCCAAAGTCCATAAATAGTTGCTGGTAGATGGAGAAAACTTACTGTTCAGTACATTCTCCAGTTTTTGCGTCATGGATCCTTCTACTTTTTCCGTTCCATCCGCTTCCAGTTTTTGATGGATTGCTGGAATAAAGTGTCCAGTTAAAATGCAGAACATTTTAATAGGTGGGAATACGCTACATCAAAGTGACACTTTTAAACATTTTTCAAAATTTAAAATAACACTTTATTTTTCTTGTTAGACATAAAAAAAAAAATACAAACATGTTTCATGGCAGCATAGTCTAGCTAAGCACAGGGCTGAGAGCCAGATGCTGCAGAATTTTAACCATTACTTTAACACAGACTTCCTGAATGTTCTTGAACAAGACAACCCTTAAGGAAAAAAAAAAAACCTGAGGAGAATAATCCTGATTAGCTATCTTGTCATACAGGTATTAATTCTATTTAGTATTTTGAAAAGTAAGCATCGTTCAAATACAAAATACTTTTGCTTTCTAGGGCAAAACTGACCTTTTATACTGATTTCACAGAAAACGCATTACTAATAATTAAAGGGTAGAAAAAGAGTCATAGGGCATCTGAATGACCTCAAAATCAAGTTTTAGAAACCTCCCCAAAAATCAGTTGTTTCCATCTGTAACAACGCAATCACAAAGAACTTGCACAATTTCAGTGTACCTTATAGCAACACCCTGCATTAACCACTATACAAAAGCACTGTGGTGCTTTGCTCAAAATCACATGAAAATGGAGGGGGGGGGAGTTGCTTTGTTTTTTAGAATATGCTGTTTTTTCCTGCCCTAAAATGCCCAGAGCCCAAATTCTTGTTTTCACATAGTATTACTAATGAACCTGGAAAACTTTAGTATCAGCATTAATTTGCTGCTTTCATCGTAATTTCTTTGTAAGGAAGGGACAGATTTACCAGCACACTCTCAGTACACTATACCAACTCTGGAAACATGGGCAACAAATGGAGTGTAGATATTGCTTTCTTCTACTTCCTATCTCTTATTCAGTCCCCTTTTCCTCCTCCTCCCTGTTGAGCACAACTGGCATAAATCATTGTTTTTTGTTTTTTTTTTTTAAATAAGATTACTAGTAATCTTGCATACAATCATCCTATATATATATATATAATTATTTTAAAATCACATAATTTCCCCTTAAAATTTTTAATCTATTAATATACATAAAATTTCTCTATCGAATAGCCATCAGCTCCTGTTGCTTAACAAAAAAAAAAAAAACACAGAGAGAGAAAAAAAACCCCATAAGTTTCCCATCACCTTCATCTGAGAAGCCTTCTAAAAAATTGCTGCTCCTCCTCACTACTCTCAGAAAACTGAAGTGAGGCTACCTGTGAAGACAGTGCTGCTCTGTGCTTTTAAGAGCATGAATAATGATACATTTTAGATGAGAACACAAATACACTTTTGAAACCAATCTCCAAATTGTCCCCAATTATCTGGTTTGGTTTGCAAGACAGAGCACTCGGAGTGCTTCAGCTGTATTCTTTTAAGATTAAGCCAAACTAGAAGATGCATGCTTAAGATACATACTCCAGGAGCACACTTAATGTGCTCCAACAGATAGTTAGCATTCAGTCCACAGGGTGATACTCAAGCTGGTCGGAAGAAGCACCTCGAAGGGCAGATAACACGTATATCAAGTTCTCATCATCAACCGTTTTCCTATACAAATCTATTCCTGCTTGTCCATGCTACGTAGGCACAGCCTAAGAAGAACAAGTGAACAAGCTACCTTTAGTAAGGCAAACCTGTAGCCTCAGTCCTACTGTAAAGAGTGAGAAAGGGTGGCTATTTGGAAACAGGCTGGCGCTTTCTAACAATACTCAGCCTCTTTCAGAAGACGAGTTTCCATTTAAAAAGAACACAGTGACAAAAAAGGGAGGGCAAAAGGAAAGAAAGAAACTTCCATTATCCTCAGACAAATACAATTCTTCAAATGGAGCCTAAATACAAAATTTCAAAAGCTTTGTCTTCTTGAAAATGCAAGAGAACCTCTTTATTTTTGTTGTTAAAATCACTACAGGAAAAAAAAATCTGATTTAGGACATCATATTTCTTCAGACAATCCACACTTAAATTTTTGTATACATTCAGGAATAGAAAACTATCCAAAAGATTGTAGATTCTTGAATCACAGCATATATTTTATAGATAACATGCACGATTACTTTTGAGAATGTATTTTCATAATATTGTAACAAAACCACTGCAAGTTCAAGGATATGACTAAAAATAATATGATATATGTACTATATCATATCATATATGTAATGATATGATATAAAAGGTTATACGCATGAGTTCTGGTCATGTGTAGTACAATTACAGTACAGCAATCTAAGTTACATACTGAACAGCAAGTTCATTAAAACAGCAACCAAAATATAAGCAGGCTTTTTTAAACCAAGTGTTGTAAATATTATTGAAACACTATCAACCAGTAATAGTTTGAATTTAAAGATATTCAAACCATTTTCTCAAGTGAATTTTCAAAAGATATTTTCTATACGGCTGTAGATAAAAAATAAGTTATATCTTGTCTCAAGGATTTTTAGAATGCAAGACTTTGGAAGTTATTAATTACATAGCATTAATTGCTGATCAAATAATTAAAATGTTATTCCTGAGGGGGACACAACTCAAAGTTTCCACAATTGAACTATAACATCTAAACCTGCATGAGAAACAGTTTTTATTGCAAAATATATGCAAAATAGGATCAAGATTTCTTTTAATGGACAGAACAGTAAATTCTGAAAGACTGTGATTTAACATGTTACCAGTCTAAATAACATTAAGACATGAAGAGTAGTTCTTTTTTTTTTATTTTGAAAGCAGTTTGTTTGGAAATGGTAGCATGATCATGAATCAGTTCCTGAAATTTTTAAAAAGCGTCTTCTCCAAAGCAGTTCTCTTTATCATCCCTGTTGGATAAGAAGATACAATAGCCACACTATTCCCTCCTCTTCCTTTTAGGAAATGGAACATAACATTTTTCACACTGGCAGCATTTAAAGTTAGTGGTTTGGCATAAAGCATTTGAGATTCTCTGCTTGAAAATAGTGCTGTTGTAAACCCAGGAAGAGTTATCACATTAAGCCAGTGCACAGGTGTTCCAGCAGAGAACAAGATGTCTACAAGGTGAAAAATATTTATGCATGTATTTTTTTTTTTTCCAATAAGGTAGCAAGTTCCAGGAAGGAGGAAAGCACTGTATGGTGTAAGTAAAGGAATATTAAACATATATAACAGGTAGAATAAGCCAAAAGGGATTTTTGGACCAGTGTCTCAATTAAGCTCCCTTAGGACATAGTGAAGAAGTGTAGACCTACCTAAATTACTCTTGCTACACATAAGGGGACTTGTTGTATTCCTTACTACATAGTTAACAGGATACTTTCTTCATGTACTGAAGCTATTTTCACCCATTAAATTCAAACATAGCAATAAGAGCATTCATACGTATGCCAAAGCTGGGCTACGAAAAAAAGATTAAGTTTTCAGAGTGAAAAATGTCATGAAAAATTCTTTATTAGAAAGTCTAAGCTTTGTTCGCATCAAATAATTTTTAGACAGTTAAGCAAGTGTTCCTTCCATAGGGAACCCTCTGACTTAGAAGTTTAGGCAAGCAAAACTATATGCAGTCAAGAAAAATACCTGTTGACCTAATCTGGTGGGAAGGAACTCATACATACTCAAGTTATTCTTTCATCTTAGACTAAAACTATGTAATGGTGGGCTGTTGTTGTTTGGAATGATTCCCCTTCTCCTCACCGTTTCCACCTGCGTGCTTCCTTGTGCTGCATCTAGCAATCACACAGCTGCAGGGCAGAAGCAGTGAGCTGATCTATTGGAAAATCCACTCAGCAAAATAAAAGTTTTTTTATTCATCTGTGAGCTTGTCTAAACCAAGCCACAGTTGCACCATTGCAATGCAAGGGAAGAGAAGGAGCATGTGGCCAAGGACAGGTGGAAAGCAAACCTGCACCTCTCTCAGCAGTCAGTAGTTAGATTAACTTCAGCTGCAGCTTCATACTGCAGCCACTAATGAGGTGAGGGTAGGAAGAGCAAGGAGAAAGTTTTAAGATTCTCTCTGAAAGCCTGAAGAAGAGAGAGATGGACAAGATTTTATTCTTGAACTGTGAACTGTCACCTGGACTTACCTGATATGAACTGTACAAGTTAGAACAGCAGTTGAGATTGCTTCTCAAGAGTTTCCAAACCTAGCAGAGTCCATTTCCCATTATCAAGAAGCGTTATGGTAAGAAGCATACAACAAATAAGGTGAGGAGGGTCTGGGTCTACGCGTTTCAACCATGCCAGAAAACTAACTGCTTTTTGTACTATCCTTGCCACTAAGTGTTCAAGTTTGCAAGCTTCAAATACTCCGACTTAGAAGGAAAATCTCATAGCTGCAGTGCAATACTAACTTTTAATAGGGAAGAGATTAAGCTTAGAGCTCCTAAGATCTACACTGTGACCAAATACTTCAGAATTGGTTATTTTTGTCAAAACACAAGCAATAGTGTAATCTGGCAAATAAACCGTAGTACAGGCCTGTAGTAAAATAAACTGCAATTAAATCCATTGCTGCTTGTGTTGAAAACAATTTGATTTCTTCTAAGGAAGGATATGGTTTCTACTTGGGCAACTGTATATCTGAAACAAACCAGGCTTGTCAGGGTCATGCAATTTTTGACTTGCAAATTTCATTTTTGATTTACTCATCAGGTTTTGTTTTTTTTTTTAGACACACTTTGAGATAAGCACCAAGGAGTGGTATTCTCAAAAATTCCTCTGCCTAACTCTGCAAAGCAAAACAGACGCAGGTTTTCTACCATTTTCTAATAAGAGGCATAGACATGCATTTAGCATATCTGAAAATCTTATTCATTTGCTCAGAAACACAGTTAAAGAAAAAATTTACGTGAAACATACCAAACGTGTTTAGTTGGACACAGAAAATAAGAAGAAACAGAATGACAAAAAGGAAAGACTGATTCAGCAAAGTAGTTCTGAAGATGTTAATGTGGTAACCATAAAGAACTTGGCACTGAAATACAGTAGTGGAAGGAAGAACAACACATG